GGAACGGGCCCCCCCCCCCCCCCCCCCCCCCCCCCCCCGCTGCAGACCCTGGGCGTGGGCTGGGCCTGGGAGGCGCTCCGCTCGGTGGGCCACGGCACCAAGACTAACTTTGGCGCCGTGAGCGGCGTCGTGGGCCTGCAGGTGGCGGCGCAGGACATGCAGCGCCAGATGCAGTCGGGGCAGCTGTCGCCGCAGCAGGTGCGCCATGCCATGCGTGGCGTGCTCGCCGGCGAGCACGTGTGCGCTCTGCTTGCCCGCCTGCCTCCTCTCGCCGCATCCCCGCCTTGCCTCGCCCTGCCCCTCCACACCCGCCCGCCTGCCCTCCATTGCTTGCCAGGCTGAGGCCATGATGGCCAGCAAGGCCGAGGAGCTGCTGGGCAACCTGTGGAAGCTGAATGTGGCGGACATTGAAAAGACGCTGGACAGGGTGGTGCCAGCGGTGCTGCAGGTAACTTGATGCCCGGCGTGGTGGGCTGGTGAGAGCTTGTGTGTGTGTGTGTGTGTGTGTTGCGAGCGGGCAGTGAGGGCGATTGAGGCTGGGCCGAGGCTGGCTAGGCGCCGCTGCCGGCGCTGGCGCTCGCCCATGCGCGGCCGGTTCTGACCGGCACACATGTTGCGACGCAGCGCCCTGCCCCGCCCTGCCCTCCCTCGAGTTGTTGTGCCTCGCCGCTGCCCGCCCCTCCCCTGGTGCGTTTTCAGGAGCCGGGGCTGAGCTCTTCGCAAAAGGATGAGCTGGCAAAGGCCCTCAAGAAGGTCGGCAAGATCTTCCAGGTGCGGGTGGGACGGCCGGCGCGGCTGGCCGCGCCGGGCCCTGTGGGGCTCTGCGTTTCAAGCGCCGGCATGATTCATACAGCTTGCAGCCCCGGGAGGGCGGCGCTGTTGGGCCACGCCTTTCTGGCCTGCGCTGGCCTGGCGACAATCTGTCCCACCTGTTGCGCTGCGCTGTGCTGCGCTGCGCTGCGCTGTGCTGCAGGAGGCGTCCATGAAGGAGCGGGAGGTGCGGGGCCCGCTCAAGTCGATGAGCCGCGTGTTTGGCCAGAACGCGGCCGACCCGCGCCAGCAGCAGCAGCCGCAGGCGGGGCCCGGCCCGGCGGGCTACCCGCCCAGCGGCGCCGGCGTGCCGCCGCCTGCGCCCGGCTACCCGCCGCCCGGCGCCGCGGGCTACGCTCCCGGCTACGCCGCGCCGCCTCCCACCCAGCAGGCGAGCAGCAGCGGCTTCCTTGGCGGGCTGGGCCAGGCGGCCTCCGATGTGGGGCGGGACATGTCGAATCTGGGGCAGGACTTTGCCTCGCGGCTGGGCTTTGCCGACCCCCCGCCGGTGCGCCTGTCGCTTTCTTTCTTTCACTGCACCGCCTCCCAGCCGACCGCTGTCGCTGCTTCTGGGCTCCGGCTGGCCCAGGGTGCGCCGCACAGGGCCTGAGCCGGCCTCCCTGCCTCCCCCGCCTGCTGACTGCAGCCCCAGTACGCGCCACCCGCCTATGGCGCCCCCGGCGCCGCCGCGCCGCCGCCCTCCTATTACGGACAGCCCTATAGCGCACAGCCGCCCCCGCAGTACTATGGGCAGCCCTACGCCCAGCCTGGCGCTTATGCCCAGCCTGGTGCTTATGCCCAGCCTGGCGCGTACGGCCAGCCCGGGGCCTATGCCCCGCCTGGCGCCTATGCCCCGCCTGGGGCCTATGCCCCGCCTGGCGCCGCGCCCGCCTACGGCGTCCCGTCGCCCGCCCCGCACGCGCAGCCCGTGGGCATGCCGCCGCCGACCGGCGCGGCCGCGCCGCCGCCCGCGGCCCCGCGCGCGGCTGCCGGCCCGCCCCCCGACTTTGACTCGATGAGCGTGGGCGAGCTCAAGCGCTTCATCGCCAGCAGGGGGGCCACCCTGGACGGCGCGATTGAGAAGAGCGACCTGGTGGCGATCGCAAAGGCGCTGGTGCAGTAGCGCGGCGGCGCCTAGAGCGCTGTGTGGTGTCACGTGTCAAGTCGCTGTCCGTGGCCCTCAGTAGAGCTGTGTGCTGAGTACCTCTGTAATGCTCTGCACTGGGGCTCAGCAGCACACTGCTCACGAAATATTTGGGCGGCACGGCGCGGGACAGCGCCCAACCCGTGGCTGGCCTCGCCCTCTGCCCCGTCGTGTCCCGCCCGCCCTTCAGTACCAAAGTTACGCTAGCTTGATGTGGTACCCCGTGCTACCTGCCTTTTGCTGCCGTTTGCTGTGGCAGCCGCCTGCTGCACTGCTACCGAGACTGTTTACCCTCCCTCCCCTTGTTTCTACATCTGCGTCCCTTCCCTCCTTGTAACCGCGGTCACAGTCACAGTCGCTGATAGTGACCGTGCCATCTCAGGCTGCCTCCAGATCAGCAAACAGGTGCCCGCACACCTCCCCGGGCTCCAGCAGGGCTGTGGCTCCCACAAGGATGCGCGGAGGCCGCGGTGCTCCTGCTGCTGCGCCGCCACCGCCGCCCTGGCTGCTGACCTGCGCCGCCCGCTCGTCCACGGCTTGCATGACGGCGTGCAGCTCTGGGGGAACGACACGGCAGGCAGGCAGGCAGGCAGGCAGGCAGGCAGGCAGGCAGGCAGGGTCATCTCTCCGCAGGTGCTGTGGCTGATGCCTTCTCGCCTCGTGGCGGCGGCGAGCGCTTGCCTGCCGCGGGCCCCGCCCGCGCATCCCAACAGGGTCACCCCAGCCACCCGTCGGCCCCACAGCAACGCATGCATGCCTGCACGTGCACCAGCTGCCCACCTGCGACGCTGATGCCGCCCACCACGAACAGGATGACTGTGGAGCAGTCGGATGGCTTGGGCCCCGCCTGCAGCCCGAAGCGGCCCAGGCCGGAGCGCAGCAGGCCCGACAGCGAGGTGGCCCCAGCGTGCAGGTCGGGCACCGGCTGGTCCCGCAGCACGTGCTCTGCACGGCGGGGCAGGGGGCAGCACGGACGCGGGGTTGGGCGTGGAGGGACAAGGGCCGCAGGGAGCGGGCAGGCAGGGGAGGAGGTGTCGCTGCGGCACGTGGAGGACCTCCACGTGCTGCTGCGCAGGATGCAGCCGGCGTGCCCCTTCATCTCCCTCCCTTCAGGGTGATGGAACAGCACGCAGCCGCTCACCCGCGATCTGGCGCAGCAGCGGCATGTGGTGCGGGGCCCCGTCCTGGCCCAGCGCCGCCAGGTGCCTGGCGTGCTTGAGCTGGGACAGGCGGCAGGCAGCCAGCTCCCGCATGCGGCCCAGCAGCGCTTCCACCGCGTCCCGCGCCTCCAACCGAAGCGCCCGCAGCTCCTCGTCGCCGCCGCCGCTGCCACCGCCGTCGCCCGCGGCGCCCGCTGCCGCGGCCGCTCCCGCCTGCTTGGCGGCTGCCAGTGCCACCCGGCCGCACAGCTGCTCCAGCAGCCAGGGCGGGCCGCCGGCTGCTGCCGCTGCTTCCGCCGCTGCTGGCGCCGCTGGCACCGCTCCAACCTTGGCAGCGGCAGCGTCCTGGGCAGCGGACCTGCCGCAGGCCATCACCGCCTCTACAAGTGCCTCCTGCAGCTGCACCTCCTGCTGCGGCTGGAAGGCTGCCCCCCTGCCGCCATCGCCTCCGGCATACCTGCGGGGGCGCACGCGTTGCACCAGGAAACGGGGCGCTCAGTCAAGACAAGACAGGCGATATGCTCTTGGAGGCTGGCTGGGTGGACAGATGGCCGGCTCTTGCTGGACCCGACACCCCTTGGGAGCAGCACCAGGAGGGCTGCTGGCCGCAGGCACCCACCAGGGTAGAAAGTCGGGGAGCAGGCAGTACGCTGCCAGTACCAGCAGTACCACATCTGTCAGGCGCAGCGGGCTGCCGGGCCTGCCGGCCAGGCCGCACAGGTCCGCCAGGTGGGAAGCCGCCGCGTCGGCCGACTCGGTGCAGGCAAACAGCAGGGCCCGCTCCTCCCGCTGCATCGCCTCCCAGTGCTCTGCGGCAGCAGGCGATGGCGGGCGCACAGCAGCGCAATGAAGCAAGCAGGAGCGCAGTGGTCGAGGTGGCGGCAGGACAGTTGTATACAGTTGTGTACAGTAACGGAGGGTGAAAATGGTTGCAGAGGGAGGGGCTCTTGCTTGCATGGGGCCCCTCGAGCGCGGCAGCAGCCGCCTCAGCCAGCTGCAGCAGCGCGGCATGGCGGTGCGCCGCGGCTGGCGACTGCCGCCGCAAGCCGTCTGCCAGGGAGCGCAGCTCGGCTGCGCTGATGCTGCCGGGCTTGAAGCGCTGCAGCTGCCCCACGTTTTCCTGCGCGGTGAGGGCAGCGGGGGAGGCCAGCGGGTGTGGGGTCCCTGCCTGCATTCTGCCAGCAACACATGCTCTGCTCCCATCCAAGCGAAAGCAGCTTAGCCCTCCCTGGAGCAGCTGCACAAGTCACCGTCACACACCTTCCTGGCCGCCTCCCGCAGCCACTTGCGCACAAACAGGGGCCCGTCGCGGCCCTTGCGGCTCAGCAGGAACTCCAGCCAACGCTCCGCCTGCAGGCAGGCAGGCGCGGGTGCGGGTGGGGCGCGCGCCGCAAAACATCTCACCACCTCAATGACCAATCACGGCAAAACATGATTGCTGGGCCGTGCTAGCCGTGCCCTTCCTGCTCACCAGTACATCATCAGGGTGCCGCAAGCTGCCCGGCAGCAGGCTGCCTGCGCCTCTTGCGCCATCCGCGCCGCCGCCGCTGCTCGCGCCGCTGCTGCCGGCGTCGGGCGCAGCCGCGGCGGCAGGCGGCTGGTCCAGGCTCGGCATGGGCAGCTCGCGGGCCAGCGGCGAGAAGGGCTCCTGACGGGGCCTGCTGCCAGCCGCCGCCGCTGGCGCAGCCGCCGGTGGCTGGCCGGCGTCGCCTCCCGCGGCGCCGGGCTGCTGCAGGCGGCTGTACAGTCGCTGCACTAGCAGGTCAGCATGCTGGACGGGGCTGACGGGATCCAGCACGCGATCCACCAGCACCAGCGCCGCCGCCGGCGCATCCTCAGCCATTGTTGGCACAAACGACATGTGGGAGCAGATCTGGCGGCTGCAGGGGCCCAGGGCAAAGGCCTCGGGGCGGTACCCCAGCACCGCCGCCACGCCGGTCAGCGTGTGAGCCAGCAGGTGGAGGCCAGAGGCGGGAGAGCCGCCGGCGGCGGCGCCGGCGCTGCCGCTGCGGCGGCCAGGCGCCTCTGCCGGGCGCGGCCCCTCCTCGTCTGAGTCGTCTGCTGCCGCTGCTGCAGCGCTGGTGCTGTACCCGGCAGCCAGCCGGCCCGCGCGTGGCAGTGTGGCCGCCGCCGAGGCCGCCGCCAGCACAAACGCGGTACCGCTGAGCGGGCACAGCAGCATGGGGCAGTACGCGAGGGCCAGGCTGCAGGGGCCCTGGCCCGCCGCGCGTCGACCCTCGTTCAGCTGCTGCTGCCAGGCTGCGCCCAGGGCGGCAAAGCAGCTGCCGCCGTACCGCGCTGGCAGCTCGTCGTGATGGGCCGCCTGCGAGCTGCTGCACAGAACGGTGAACTGGGCTGCCGCCGCGTGCAGGCTGCAGGCCGCCAGCACCGCCACCTCTGCTTCGGCCAGCAGCGTGGTGACGAAGAAGGCCACGCGCCGCACAGGGGCGCCCGAGCCAGACAGCAGCGCCGCGGTGGCCAGGTCCGCCGCCGAGGCGGCAGCCAGGTCGCAGACGGCCGCAGCGCCCAGCTCTGCAGAGGAGAGTGGTGCATGGGGTGCAAATGCTGATGAATATTGGATGGTACGGTCACGTTTGAGGCGGCCACAAGCATGGATCTCTGCACCCAACTCACCCTGCAGCGCGGCGAGGCCCACGCCTGCCGCCACCGCCTCGGCGGCGCCCGCGTCCAGGTACAGCAGGCTGCCGGCCAGCTCGTGGGCCTGGTCTTTCAGGCATCGCTTGACGGCGTCTTGCACGCTGGCCATGCTGAAGGGGGAGCTCCTTGGCGCGCTGGAGCGATCGTGGTTTGGGGAGGTGGTCGCTAGGCACGACAGGCTTGCGATAAACGAACTGTGTAGGTCATTGCGGGATTGCCACCTCTCGACGAGACGCACAGCGGGCTCCATTTTTCCCTCGGCTTTCCATTCTTCGAGCGCCACTTGGTGTTTTCGCATCTCTGCATCGCCTGCTCGTTTCCACATTGCGATCGGAACTTAATTCGCCAGCCACGGAATCGCTAGGAGGGTTCTTTGAAGAATGGTGGGTTTAACTTGTGCCGTTCCTGGCGCTCCTGCCCCGGTCGCCCTGCATGAACAGCACCGGGAGCTGCAGACTGGATCTGCACCATGACAGGGGCATGGCGGTGGCCAGGACTTGTCGCCGTCCACTTGCTCCTGTCGGCGGCGACACCCTGAACTTGCGCAACTGCATGGCAACAGGCTGCCACGGCATTGTTCTGCTGTCCTTGGTATCATTGTGCCCAAACGGTACCCCTCATGCTCTGCCGCAACTTCCCATGCCGTCCACCACCCCGCCGCAGACGGTGGGCCCGCCTGCGACCGCTGCCGGCGTTGCCTGCTGCCAGCTGTCGGTGGTTGTCGCGTCTCGCAATGCCGTGAAGATCAATGCCGTCGCCGCGGCCCTGAAGCGGGCGCTTCCCGGGGTGAAGCACCATGTGACAGGTGCGTGTGTGTGGCTGGGGAGTGGCCCCCTGGCCCGTTGGCTGATTTGCCGCCTCCCTGAATCACTTCCGCAGGCGCCGACTCGCAGTCTGGTGTGGCCGACCAGCCATTTGGAGATCAAGAGACGCTGCGTGGTGCATGCAACCGTGTGGCCAGCATCTGCCTGCCGCAGCACCAGGGCTGCCTGCTGGTGGCGATTGAGGGCGGAGTGGGCTTTCAGGAGCCGCTGCCACCATCCCCAGCTTTGCTGGGCACTGATCCAGGACTGCAAGCGCAGGATGCGCAGCAGCTGCAGCAGCAGCAGCAGCGGCGGCAGCAGCGGCGGGAGCAGGCCCTGATGCAGCAGCAGGGAGGCCAGCAGCAAGCGGGAACGCCGCTGCCGGGGCTGGAGTGCTTTGCGTGGGTGGTGGTGCAGGCGCCAGGCGGCGCCACCAGCCAAGCTCGAACTGCAACCTTCCCGCTGCCGCCGGCAATCAGCGAGCTGATGCTGCGCGATGGTCTAGAGCTGGGGGATGCCGATGATGCAGTGTTTGGCAGGTGAGCAGCGGGCCCCCTCCCTTTGTGCTCTGTGGTGGTGCGCTGCTCCATGCTTCCTGCAAATCCCCACTCTCACTGCACTGTTGCCGCCGCCACGACTGCCGCAGGGTGAAGTCAGGGCGTGGCAACGGCACCATCGGCCTGCTGACGAGCGGCCTGCTGACGCGGCAGAGCTACTATGAGCATGCTGCGCTGTGCGCCTTGGTACCGCTCATCAACCCGCAGCTGTACCCAGGCTTTGCCCTGGCAGCGGGGAGCGAATGATCGATTGGCAGGCAGCATTTGTGAGCCAGAGAGCCATGCGGCGGCTGAGTGAGAGGCATGCGGGGAAAGCTCCAGCCTCCCTGCTTGTCTCGCAGCCCTAAAACCCTGCCGAACAGTTGCCTTCACCATCCTGGAGTGTCTGTTTTTGTGTTTGTTGGTGTTTGTTGCAATGTGCAGCGAGCAAGGCAGCGCACAACATGCGGCAACTGGGCAGACAGCTATCCAACAACGAGCAGCCTCGTGGATTGGCCCCAGCATCAGTCATCCAGCAGCTCCAGGTTGGCGGTACCGGGCCCCTCCAGCGGCGCCTGGATGTAGTTGTACAGGCAGCTGCACAGGCAGTACAGGTTCAAACGGAGGCTCAGGAGCTCAGGGCAGCGCTTGGGAGGGTTTTGGAGCGGCAGCAGCTCTCGGCAAAGAAGTATTGCAGGCAGGCAGGCGGGGAGCAGGGTTTAAAGGACATAGGACCTGCTCCAAAGCGCAGGCGCCCTCTCAAATCTGGTGAATAAGCCAATGCCCCTGCCCTGCTGCCACCCAGCAGCCAACGCACACCTGCGGGTCACCACACCGTTGCTGTCTACCAGCGCCAGCAGCAGCTGCTGCGCCTGCACGCCTCGCACAGCAAACAGGCGCTGCAGCAGCCGCGGCGTGAGCTGCCGACAGGCACTGCTGACTGGCACCAGGATCTGGGTGCGCAGCTTGGGTGGAAGGGCTGCTGCTGCGTCGACTGCCGCTGCTGCTCCTACCGCTTCTGGTGCCTGTTGGTGTGAGTCGGCGGATGCGGGTGCCGCACCCTGCTGCTGCTGCTGCTGCTGCTGCTGCTCCGGTTCGCTGCTCGTGCCGCGTGGTGCACCTGCCTGCTGTGGCTCAGGAAGCTGCTGCCGCTGCTGCTGCTGCGTGTGGCGGTCTGCTCCCTTTCCACCGCCGCCTTCACGCTCTGCCGCTGCTGCTTCCTGCTGCAGCGCCGCCGCCGAGCCTTCAGGCACGATCTGCAGCAGCATCCACAATGCCTGATCGGCTCTGCAGGCATAAAGTTGGGCTGAGAGGCACGGCAATGCATGCGGGTCGGCACCTCCACACACACCTGCGGTGGCGGGTCCTCATCGCCCTCTGGCGCTGCGGCGTGCTGCTGGGGCTGACTCTCGGTGGTCTCTGCTTGCTCCCACTGCGCTAGGAAGTAGTAGAAGCGGCCCTGTGGGCTCCATCGCAACTCCGCCTGCTTGCTTTCTATGTGCAGCACCGTGTAGACTGAGTACAGGTCTGTGGGATCCGCCAGGCTGTAATCCGAGTCACGGGGCGGGATGGAGGCCCTGAAATCGGGGTAGGAGACGACGGTGTCGAGCGCAGAGCGATTGGTGCGCCACTTGCGTTGCATTCTGTGACAATGGAGCTCAAGGCAATGCATGCAGGCTGGTTGTCAAGCTTTTTGCGGCGGCTGAGGTGGCGTGCTGCGTGCTGCGCTGATGGCAAGCGTGAAAGGCCTGGCCAGGAGCCTCGCTGACCAGTTTCCTCTTCCTCCATGACACTCCCAGAGCTTGAAATCGCGGTGTACAACCCTACTTACCCGTCGCAGTTTTATCTGCCCGGGGGAGATGTGCTTGAACCGGACGCAGTGCTCGTGGTGGAAGGCAGAGAGCTTCCAGTGCACAGTCAGCTGCTGTCGTTGAAGGCTGGGGTGCTGGGGGGCTTGTTCCAGGCGGCATCGGAGGGGCCGGCGACGACGGGGACGTGGCCGCCGAGGTGGGGATGAAATGGTCTCACCCCCCTCCTGCATGCACAGGATCTTCAGCAAGCCTGACTGAAGCCTTCTGCATGATGCCTTCACTGAATTGTAGCTGGCCTGCCTGTACCCACCCTTGACGCAGGTCCGTGCCCCCAAACGGCGGCGGCTGGAGGGCCCGCTGGCGGATTTTGAAACCAAAACGGTGGCGATTTTCTTGTGGATGCTTTACAATGAGGCGGCGGCAGCAGGCAGCTTCGGCAAGGTGCCGCTGCCCCTGCTGCAAGACGTGCTGCGGCTGGCGCACCAGCTGGACGCTCGGACCCTGTTGGCACAGCTGGTGCAGCATGTTGGGACAACGGCGGCCAGCGACATGTTGAGCGTGGCAGAGATTGGGAGCTGGCTGCACACTGCCGACCAGCTGCAGCTCGCCAGCCTGGTGGCGCAGCTTGTGCTGAGGCTGGCACACGGTTTGGCGACAGCTTCTGGCTACGCCTCCTCGCTAGTGGACATGCATCAGCTGGATCTGGGCAGCTTGAGAGCAAACACAGTTGCCAGTCTGCTAGCATGCGGCTTTGGGGCAGTGAAGGACACGAAAGCTCTTGCACTGCCGAAAATTGCCACGATGGCAGCCCTACATGATCCCAAAGCCATCTTCGCCCATACGTGCCTACTGAACGTATCAGAGTTGCTGGCCTCGTATCCGCAGCCTGCTTTCATCCAGGCTGAGGCTGTGGAGCAGCACGGCTTTCGCTGGATAGTCAGGGCGGATCTTATTGCAGAAGGAGAAGGGCACTTGAGATTGAGCCTTGAGGCACAGCCTGTGGACCAGGTTGCAGCACGGCAGGGAGATTGGCGGTTACACGCTAATTTCAGGTGAGCCTCTTGCTGTTGGTGCGTGAAGACTCGGGCCTGGACATGCACCCGAGATGTTTTGGATCTGCCAGTGTATTCATTGCTTGGTGTCTTGTCTCTTGCTATAGATTCGACCTTGCTGGCCAAAATGGGACCCCTTGGCGGCAAATCGGTGCGTGCAATAGTGCGCCAGTGTTTTTTCGCAAAGACAGAAGATGGGGCGTAAAATTCATGCCGTGGCTGGACGTGGTTGCTGATAACAATGGCTGGCTCAAGGATGACAAGCTGCTGCTCACCCTGTCAGTTCTTTTGTATTGATATTGGTTATGGAGCCCTTTCTTTGCATGCGCAGGATCTGTCTTGTCTTTGTTTGATACGACTGTGCAATACCAACAGTTGGCAGTAATGCTCAATTTGCATGTCACTCCAGCAATTCAGCTTTGGGGGACTCGTGCGCGCACTTCATGCTGCTGCCGCGCCGGCCCCGGGACGCAGGCCTGGGGCTCTCCGCCAGCAGCGGCATCAGCACGTCCGGGCTGCTGGGGTTGGGGACCAGCGCGGTGGCAAAGGCTCGGGGCCGACGAGCGCCCACCTGCGCCTTGTTCCTGCGGGACAGGGCACGGCAAAAATATATGCATTGAGGTGGCGCTCTGGGAGCACGGCAGCCAGCGCCGCCGTGACCAGCCCCCACGCTCAACGGTGCAGCTGCCGCCACTGCCAGAGGGCCCACCTGAGGTACCGCAGGTACTGCGAGGCGATGCCGCCCCAGACCGCCACACAGGCGCTGGCCAGGGCAACGAACGCCACCAGGCCCCAGTTCAGCCCTCCCTGCTCGTTCAGCAGGTGCCAGTCCCACTCAGCCTCATCTGCAGCAGGCGGCACAAGAGAGGAGTGAGCGCTGAGCCCTGCCTGCCCTGCCTCCTGCAGTGCGTTCTGTCTGCTTCATGCCGCAGGCCCAGCTAGCTGCAAGGGCAAAGCTGTATGCTGCCCGGGCACCCTGGAGGTGCTGACGCGAGTGTATGACGTTCGCAGCAGGCGTGACAGGGCCTGCAAGCTCACCTGTGCCATGGCCAGGCAGCCAGGGCGGGCCCGCATCCACCCACATTGGCATGCGGGGCTTGGGCCCGCCCCCGTCTGCGCCGCCCACGCCGGCATCGCCAGGGGCGGCACCTGCCGCCAGCACGCGCGCCAGCAACGGCTGCCGCGCCCCCAGGGTCTGCCGCTCGGGCAGCCAGGGCAGGGTCAGCTGAAGGTGCTCCTCCAGGGCTTGGGAGAAAGTGCTCACGTGGCGGCGCCACATCTCCTCAAACGGGTCCATCCTGAACCAGTCGTCCTCGAACCAGAAGGAGGAAGGGAGCAGCAGGCCCGGCGCGCCACGCCGGCCCAGGCCCAGCAGCAGCGGGTCGAGGCCGCCGCTGGCGCTGCGGCGCTGGCGCAGCATGCCCACCATCTTGCCGTTGTCGCTGATGGCATAGGATTCCTGGAAGAAGCCCCTGCCATCGGAATACTCCTGCAGCTAGAGGGAGGGGGAGAGCGTGGCAGGGTGTGGCTGGAGCAGCAGGCGGCGGCCGGCTGGCGACAGGCGGGCTGGCATCGACGGTGAAGCCCCTGCGCCGCCAGCCTCGTACCGGAACGGAATGGATCGCTGAACCCTCCTTCTGATCAGACCCTTTGCTCGATGAAATCAAGCGTGCCGCGTGTTCCGAAAAGCCGTACCAGGTGCTAGAGGATTCCATGCAAAGATGCCCGCCCACCTGCAGGGGCCTCAGCTCCAGCTCCCCGTTAGCACTGGCCACTACTGCAGCTGCAAGAAGCGGGATCAGCAGCCTCGCCGCCCATTTCAGCGCCATTGATGGCTTCGACAGAGCCGGTTCGACAGCGCCGCAGAAGAGTGTCGGTCGTCGGTCGTCGGGAATCAAGCACGCTCGAAGCTAAGTTCAGTGAAATGCAGATCGGAGCCGCGGGTTCCCTCTTCTGCAGTGCAGGCGGCCAGCTTGGCGCCAGCGCTGCTGGCGCCGTCGCAGCAGGCTGAGCATGAGACCAACTCCTTAATAACTTGGGGTGTTTCGTGATCGCAAGTGAGGAAGTGAAATTTACACAGTGCTCTGAACGCAGGCAAGGTAGGCAGTGTTGTCACGAAACCGGTGGGGGTATCAGTGAAACCGGAGAAGAGGGGCAGAAACAAGCAAAGCATTTTGTGCTGAGCAGACAACTGAGCAGCTACAGAGAAAAAGAAGAGAATACAGCGGTTTGTGGGGCACGGAATGCCCTCACATCTTCTCCACAATCGCCTCCTTGATGCGGCAGATGTAGCGCAGCTGCGTGGTCAGCTCCGCGGCGTGCTGCATGTCGCCCGCCCTAAACGCCGCCACCAGCTCCTTCAGGCACAGAGGGTCAGAGCGCGAGGTGAGATCTTCGGCTCGCCTGCCCATGCATTCCAGCCCGCTCCTGTAATCCCAGCCCCAACCCACACGACACAGACGCTTGCACACACACCCAGCCCCGCACCTGCAAGCACCGCTCCTCCAGCCCGCGGTTGGCATCCAGCAGGCCCTGCAGCCGCGCCTTGTCCTGCGGCGCCGTGCTTTCCACCTCCTCCCGCGCCTCCATCACATACATGAGCAGCTCGGGGTCGCTGATGGTCATGCCCTCGCACGCCCCAAACCCGCGCTGGTTGAGCTGCAAGCAGGGATGGGCAACAGCAGCGGCGGGAGCAGGCGGGCCCCAGGAGTGAGATGGTGGGCGGCATCGGCAGCAGCGAGATGGCAGGGAAGAGGACGAGCACATCACATCCGCTACACAAGACGGTGCTGCAGCCGCCCGGCAGAGCAGAAGCCCCCGCCTGCTCGCGAAGGGTCCCACCCACCCACCGCCGCCACCACCACCACAACCAACAGCCACCCTCCCAGCTCACGATGTAGTGGGCACGCCGCAGCGGCCTCTTCAGTATGTCGTACGCCTGGTTGACAGCCGCCGCCTGCTGCTCGGCATACTCGCGCTCCAGGGAGGAGGCGGTGGCGTACTTGTCGGGGTGCAGGCGGCGCTGTAGCCCCTTGTACTGCCGCTCCAGGGCCGCCACATCCAGGTCAAACACGGGCTGGTCCCTGCACGGCTCGTGGGTGGCACGAGACAGGGATGGGTGTGATGTGTGGGGGCGTGTGGGGCCCCTGGGGCAAAGGCTGCGGCGCGTCGGCAGCAGGCAGAGGCAGGGCGAGGCCTGCGCCACGCACTGATGCTGCCTGCCACCGCGAATAGACAACTGATGCACAGAGCAGCGGCGGCCAGCAGGGGTGGCAACCTGCCGGCCTGCTGCCCAAGCTGGCTGCAGGTGGGCTGCTGGCAGCTTCCCCACACTCACATGTCAAAGACTTGAAAGTACTGGACATCCATGCTGGCCGGCTGCACCGACTTGCACTCGGGGCAGAAGAAGAGGTCATGGGTGGCAAGGGGCGTGCCGCACTGCCAGCAGGTGCGCTCATGGCGCTGCCCTTCGGGCGCCGCCGCCGCCGCAGGCGCCTCCTCATGGGCCGGCTGCGGGTTGTGCTGCGCCCTGCTGGAGCTGGTGATGCCGCGGGCAGCACCTAGGTGCGCTGCCTGCCGGAGATCTGCTGCTGCTGCTGCTGCTGCTGCAGGGGTGGCGGCGCTCCTGCTAGCGCCGCTGGTGGCGGTGGCAGCAGCGGCGGCTCGGGCCCCAGGCGGCCGCAGCCAGGCGGCTCTGTTGCTGCACGGCGCCACGTCCCAGCTGGCCACCTCCCCATTCTGCACCTCTGCCGCTGCTGCCTGCCGGGCTAACATGAGCAGGCGAGGGTGTCCCCGTCGCATGTCGCCGCGGGGGGTCTGACTTGAAGCAGCAGTACCGTAGACAGGTGCAGATGAAGTGTGATATGCTACAGGGCCAGCAGTGCTTCACACCAAACGTTTGGTCCACGCCAGCAGGCTGGGAAAGCTTCACCGGGCTCTGTTTGGAGCTCGGTTGGCCTTGATCGCTTGTGCATTGCCCTCACTAATCGCAGCTCAGCGCCTGCCCTTTCTGGCCGAAGTGCTGCTGAGCAACCAAAACTCCCACCATGTCGCGGGCTGTGGGCTCCCTAACCGCCCAGACGCCTGCGGCACAGCGGCCCCAGCGCCAGTGTGCAGCTGCCCGCCGCCCTGCAGCCGCAACCAGGCAGCCGCGACAGGCGCTGCCGCAGCGGCAGCGGCACGTGTGCTGCCGCGCCAGCGCCACCAGCAGCGAGGCGGCGCAGCTGCTGGACCAGTTTTGGATGGCGCGGGGAGTGGTGGACGAGCAGCAGCGCAGGTTAGAGTTGACAAGCTGTGGACTGATGCTGGTGGTGGCCTTCGGCCCCGCTGCCTGCCCACCTCCCTGCCTATTTTGGCCCATTTTGGCCGTGCAGGCAGCTGGTGGCAGCAGCGGGCAGCCTGCAGGTGGGCGAGAGCGAGGAGCAGTACGAGCAGCTGCAGCTGCCCTCCCTGAGCGCTGCGTGGTTCCTGGAGGAGCAGCAGGGCTCCAGCCCAGAGGTAGGCCCCCAGGAAGGCTGTGGTTCCTGCCTGCCTGCCTGCCTGCCTGCCACCCACATGCCTTCCTGGCCCTCTCCAACCCTCTCTTTGTGGACGCAGGTAGCCGCCGTGTCGCGCCGCATCCTGGCGCTGCAGCAGCTGCTGGGCGGCGGCGGCGAGGGCGGTGTGGATGTGGTGTGGATGGTGGTGCGGGAGCCACGCTTGCTCAGCGCCGACTTCAGGAGGTGCGCCTGCCTGCTGCCCACCCTGCGGGCCGTGCTGGCCGGCACCCGGACGATGTGGGGCTTGCTGGCCTGCTTGAGTTGTCTTTTTGTTGTACGCCTGCTCCTGTTCCTGTCTTCCAGTGTGAACTGCTGACCTGCATCCCCCTGCCGAAACCCGCCCCTCGCTGTGCAGCATCATGCAGCGCATGTTTGACATGAAGGTGGCAGAGGGCTCCGAGGGGCTGGACGTGCTGCAGCTGGTGGCGCAGCAGGTGGGCAGGCATTGTTTCAATTCAAGTTCCTTGGTGACAGGGTACGTGTTGCTGAGATGCTGGTTGTGAGCCGCTGCTTGCCTCCTGCCTCCTGCCTCCTCGTGCAGCCGGCGCTGCTGCTGCAGGAGGGGGCGGGGGTCAGCGCGGACGAGACGGCAGCGGAGCGGCTGCAGGCCTGGCAGCACGGCCTGGTCAGCGACAACTCAGCAGAGTGGGCGAGGCGGTACAGCCAGCTGCAGCAGTACGCAGAGAGGTGCGAGGGAGCCGGGATGATGCATCCAGCCTGCCGCCCTGGCTGCTGCCTGGCATTGGCTGCCATACTGTGCCCGTGCCAGGGATCTGTTCGTTGCGCTGGTTTGAGCCGCCGCTCTGCTTGCCTTGGCTGGTCGCCGCTGCAGGTATGGCGACGCGCATGTAGGGTACCGCGATGGAGACGACGCGGAGCTGACGCGCTGGGCCGCCAAGCAGCGCTCCGAGCACCGCAGCGGCCAGCTGCAGGCGGCGAAGCAGGAGCAGCTGCAGGTGGGGAGATGGGGCGGCGCCGCGGGGGGCTGTTGTGCCAAGTTGGCCGCCGTTGCTGCAGCTCAGCTTCCCTGACCTGCCTCTGGTGTGGCCTGTCTGCCTGGTCAGCCATCCTCGTCTCCCTTTCCCTCCCTGGCTCTGCCACTGGCGCAGGCGGCCGGGTTTGAGTTTGATGGGGAGACGGCGGAGTGGCTGCGCTGGTTCAACGAAGTGCAGGCCTTCAACGTGCGGCACGGCCACTGCCAGCCCTACCCGCTGGCGCACCCCAACGGTGAGGGCAGGGAGGGGCAGGACGCTCCCGCCAGGCAGCCAGCCAAGCTGTGTCAGCCAGCAGCTCTCGGTAGCTTGGCTCCCTGCCGCTGCCAATTTGTGTGTGTTACCTGCTGTTCTGCCGCTGCCGCTGCCGACCTCTACCTGCTGTTCTGCCCCTGCTGCCTCCGCTGCAGACTTCCTGCTCATCAACTGGTGCAGCGTGCAGCGCATCATGCGGCGGTGCGGCGTGCTGGCGCCGGAGCGAGCCGAGCGGCTGGAGGCGCTGGGCTTTGACTGGAGCGGCGCCGACCCGCTCTCCTGAGTGGTGGCAGTGGCAGCAGCAGGGAAACGTTCCGGTCTTTCCGTCGGTGCTGCTGCCGTACAATGCACAGGAAGCAGCAGGCAAACCGAGGTCCTCATCTGGCGACACAGCCAACAGGTGCTGCTCACATCTTGGGCGAACTGCCTGCCGCTGCCTGCCTCCCTTCCCCGCCCCTCGCGCCGCCCCCCGCTACTGGCTGCATGGTGTGCGCTTGTGCGCTGGAGGAAACATGATGCACTTTTAACCACTTTCTGACGGTACAGATATCTTACATGCTCGGGCAGCCAGTGCACATCAGCTCAGTCGATAAGCAACATCAGAGGCACATGTTTGACATCAGTCGGAAAGCTACATTGCAGGTTCAGCAAAGCGCCGATCGACAGCAGTGTAACACAGCAAACCAGCCCTCGGCAGCTCCAATCAGCTCTGCTTGCCAAAAGCCCTTCCGATCTTCTGCCACACGTTCAACGGCTCGGCCAGCAGCTGGCCCCTGGTGCTCTCAGGCACCTCGGACCCCTGGCTGAAAGGGTTGCCGGCATTGGAGGTGCCCTTGCGTGCGGCATTGGCGCTGTCTGCTTGCTCCAGGTCCCCGGCTGCCTGCTTAGCAGCGCGCTTCTGCAGGCAGGCGGGCAATGGAGGCAGGGCTGGTGTGGATGAGTGTGGCAGCGTGCACATCCCGCAGCTTGTAACACGCATGTGGCACGCTGTGCACATGCCCCGCACGGTGCCTGCGGTTGCCGGCACATGGGCAGGGAGGGCGGGAGGCACGGGCGGAGGGAGAGCAGGGGGCACGTGTACCTGAAAGGGGTTCTTTGCGTCGGTGCCTGAGGAGGGGCCGGACAGAGGTGCCGTGGAGGGCGCGGGCTGGTCCTTCTCGGTGGAGGGCACCACGCCCTTGTAGCCAGGCTCGCCCGCCAGGGAGACTGCTGGGTACAGGGCAGGGGCGGTGCAGCAGTCGAGAGAGCGCGGCATTTGGGACAAGCCGAGGGCATGCGCAGAGGCAGGACACGCTGCAGCCACGGCAGGCGGGCTGTGTGGGTAGCAGAGCAGCAGCCAAGTGCCAGGGCCACGCCTCGCGGTGAAGTGCTGCAACGGCTTGCCGAGACTCGACTAAGATGCCGAGGGCCAGCTGCCTTTGCGTGCGCCCGCCGGCGGACGGCGGCGGCCCTCACCTGGCGCCATCAGAAGCTGGGAGGCCAGCAGGCATCCAGCCACGGCCAAGCCGGCAGAGCGCAGGGGCTGGCGGTTGTCGGGCAGGGCAGCAGCCACGGCGAGCGGGCGGCGAGCAACAGCCTGCGCAGGCGCGGCCGCCTGCGCGGCCTTCAGCTGGGTGCACAGGGATGCCTGCATTGCCAGCCCAGAGGCCTGCTGGGGACGAACGTTGCTGGGGATGAACGAAACTGCGGTCGCTGGTGGGAGGCGGGGCTATAGATTTGGTCAAGATAGGCCTGGAAGTTGGATGACGAGGCGGCGGGGCAGTTGAATGACAAGGCGCCGGCGAGCGCGCGCCTCCTTCCCCCCCCTCACATGGCAGTTGTGAGCCCTGGCTCTCACATCCATGACCAAGGTTGCATGATCTGTTAAAGAAGCGTGGGGCGCTGCTGCGTTTACGGTTGGGTGGCAGAGGCCGCATAAAATGAATAAATGGCTGGGCCTCCCGGGGGCCTCCAATGCGACAGCAAAAGGCTGATGGGGCGGGGGCGCAGGCAAAAAGTGCAGAGAGGGGAGGCGGAGGTAAGGGGAGGAACAGAAAGCAGCAAGGGGTCGTTCGTTGGGGACACTGGACAGCGGCGCTTCAAGTTTGACACAGATGTCAAGTGAAGCTGATCACAAGCACTGGCTCGCTTGCAGCCCGCCTCGGACAGGCCTGCCTGCTGCTGCAGCTCTGCTGAAGAGAGAGCAGCAACACGACTGCCTGGCTGACCAGCGGCTGGTGGGAGCACCGCAGCAAGAGCTACCGCAGGTGGGGGTGGGGGTGGGCCTCGAGCAGGGCCTCCATAGCCTCCGCCCGCGCCACAGCATCGGCGGCCCAGGCGCCGCGGGCCGCAGTGGTCAACGTGGTGCTCGCATGCTTCTCCACGCCGCGCGCCACCATGCACATGTGTGCAGACTCCACAACCACCAGCACCGCCCGCGCCCCTAGCGCGGCCGTCACTGCAGAGGGGCGAGGAGAGGCAACCAACGCTGTCGGCATTAGCGCGACCAGCGCATGCCACACAGGGGCGGCAGGGCCCTGCTGTGGCGGCCGTGCATGCGGGCCAGCTGCTCTGCCGGAACTGAGCACCATTCTGACAACAACCCAGACTTTACAGGCTCCCTACCCAGCCCAGGCCAGCCCGGACCACCCCGCACCTGCGTCTGCCACCTGGTGCGTCAGCCGCTCCTGCACCTGCAGCCGCCTCGAGAACATCTGCACGATGTGCGCCAGTGCCGCCCTACTGGCGCCACCTCCTCCTGCTCCGCCGCCGCCGCCGTCCGCCGGCAGGTAGGCCAGCTTGAGGCGGCCGTAGAAGGGCAGCAGGTGGTGCTCGCACTGGGAGCTGAAGAGGGCGCTGAAGGTGTGCAGGCCCTCCAGCTGCTGCTCCTCCTGCTCCCGCTCCCGCTGCTGCTGCTGCTGCTGCTGGGGCGGCGTGCCCGCGGCCTGGCCGCTGCTGCAGCAGCCGCGGGCCACGTACACGGCCCCCGTCTCTGCCGTCTCCCGCAGGGCCAGATACCAGGGAGCATCAGCCGACACGTCATCAGAGGAAGCATCAGAGGGGTCTGGCGAGGGGTCGTCCGGCGTGGGCGGCCCCAGCTCCGCCGCCGCCGCCGCCGCCGCCGCCGCCGAAGACGCGTCTGGCAGTTGCATGCGGTAGCCCGCCGTCGCGCTGTGCAGCCAGCTGGCGTAGCGTGCGGAGCCGCCCTTCAGGCCCTGCAGACGCGGGGCAGGCGGCGGCGGGCAGAAGCGTGCCGCGTCAGATGCAGCCCAGCGAGGGATGCTGCCAGAGGCAGGCAGGTGGACACGAACTTGGCGGGTTGGGCTGCGGAAGGCGAGGCGTATCAGACAGTTTGCAGCGCTGGTGGCTTGCCTTGCGGCTGGGGTCTTCTCCCACGCACAGCAGCAGCGTGTCTGCCGCCGCCGCCATGCTGCTGCCGGCCGGCGTGGCCGCCACCTGCTGCTGCTGCTGCTGCTGCTGCTCGGCTGCGCCCGCAGGCTCCGCGGCCGGCCCAAAGCCCGCCAGCGCGTGGCCGCTGAGCCGCAGCAGGGCCAAAAACTCCGCCAGCTGGCCCGAGGCGGGGTCTGCGAAGCAACCGGCGGCGGCGGTGGTGGTGTGCGAGGCCGGCGCGGGGCCGTCCCCCAGGTGCACCGCCTGCACCACCGCCGCCACGCCCAGCGCGTGCACCTCCTCCTGCACCGCCGCGACCAGCCGCTGCGTGAACTGCTGCTGCGTCTGCAGGCGCGCCGCCAGGCACTTGGTCACGCGCGCCAGCTTGGACAGCCCCAGCACCACGCCCCGCCGCGGCACGTACGCGATGTGGCAGCGCCCGTGGAACGGCAGCAGCGTGGCCTCGCTCAGCGCGGCAAAGGTAATGTCCCGCACGATGACTAAGCCGTCAGAGCCAGCGGCCACGATTGGCTCATGGAACAGCGCGGTGCCAAAGGCGCTGCAGGCGGGGAGCGGCGGGGGCCGTGGCACGAGGGCGGGCCAACGAACCGTGAGGGCTGCGCCCAAGCCGGGCCCAGCAGCCCTGCCGAAGCCCCGGCAGCGGCAGCGAAAGCAACTGCTTGTGGCATGCAAGCACCGCCCCACTTTTGGCACTCTGCCGGTAACCCCGGGTCATGTCCAACCAGGCCTTGGGCCACCGCTTGCAGAAGCCAAAGCAGGGACCATTCTGGCGTTAAGCCGGGCCCCTGAGGGGGGTGGGGGGGGTGGGGGCGCCGGCGGTTGCTCTCCCACCAACCAGCGGCGCCGTGCTGCCAAATTGCCGCCATCATCTACCGCTCACCCTGGGCGTGTCGATAAGGCCCTCGCGCGCCGGGTCCTCCCCCACCCCAACCAAGAGTTGCTGCACCGCCTGCTCCATAGAAGCCAGGTCGCGGCCCTCGGCCACTTCTTGGAGCTCTAGCTTGCTGCTGCAGTGGCACAGCGGCTGGTCAGCGACCATTGCGCTGCACGTGAGCAGGCGTGGTAGCTATCCCTCATGCACAGCCCCTGCGGCACGCAGCGGACTGGGAATGCAAAACGATGGCTGAAATATGCAGCAATTGATGGGCCGAGCGCCACAATGCCACCAGGTTGCATGGGGCACTCGCCTGTCCTCGGCGCAGGCACAGCCGCCGCTACCGCTGGGTCCGGGGAAGCGGCGCACATGTATTTATAAGGACAGTTGACCATGCTGGACGGTCCGACCTGTCAGCATGGCGCATGACGCAGGGCTGAGTTGAAATGGGCTTTGCACACACTCAGCGCCGACGGTTGCTGCTTCTGGCGGGCATGGTCGGCACGGCTGATGATGTAAACAGCGCACTGGCAGTGGGCTGCAGACAAACTCAGCACCAGCCGAGAGGTCCAGGCAGATGGAATCCAGTCATTGCCTGCCTTGCACCCCCTTGCCGCCACCGTGCAACCGCGTCCCGCCCCCGTCCTGCCGTCGGCTCCAGCCGCCCTCATGGCTGCCCCCGGGAGTCAGATTGCTCGTTCTGGCTTCACCTCATGCAGGCAGAGGGCTCCCCAGCGCCCAAGCTGCTTCTGACCCACCTGCTCAGCGCAGAACCTGTCGCCGAAGGGGGGTTCCAGCTAGCCGGCCTGCCCATCACGTTTGAGCGAGTCTGGCTGCAGGTGCGCTGCAGCTTGCAAGGCGTCCCCCAGCTTGCAGTGAGGTGCCGCTTTGTGTCGTGCCCGCTCCTGTCGAGGCTCAGGGAGGTAGTTCCAGCAGCACGGCTGTGTTCCTGCCGCCGCAGGGCACGGTGCGGGCCAAGGTGGGATCGGTGCTCAAGCTTGACGACGGCACCGGCACCGCCGACGTGTTGCTTGGGCTGAGCAGCGCCAAACTCGGCGTCGACTTTGAGAGCGTGCAGGTGGGGGTGGGCTGGCACGCCTGTCGTTGCAGCTGCTGCCTTCTGATCTGAGCGGCACCGCACGCCGCAGCACCGCCTGCTCTCTTCGGTCGGTCATCGGGATGGCCTCCACTTCACCCTCGCTGCCGGGTTTCGGGAATGCAGGTTGGGCACTACATCTTGGTAATAGGCAAGGTGGTAGCCAAGGGCCAGAAGCTGCACGTCAAGCCACACAAGGTGGGTGCTGCAGCGGCTGGATGGCCGCAGGCGGGAGGCGGGAGCAGCATCCATGGGCACATGGATGCGTGTGCGCTTGGCGGGTGCTGCGCAGATTTCAGCACCCAGGCGCCAGGGGCAGTCTTTCCTTTCCGCCCTGCTCCGACGGTCAGGGGCAGCGGCACTGCACCCAGCCACACACCCTGCACTTGCCCTAGTGCCCTCCCCCTGCTGCTTTCTACCACCCTTGCTCCTGCAGCTGGTCAACCTGTCATGCGAGTCAGAGGCGGCCCCGCAGCGCATGATGCACTGGAACCTGGAGGTGCTGGAGCTGCACCGTGTGCTGGCGACAGCTGGCACGGCGCAGGCCTGAGCCTCGGCCTCAGCAGCAGCAGCGACGCGCGTGGCGGCCGGCAGCGGCACACCGCAGCAGGAGCAGCAGCGGAAGGCGATGTGGCGCCCCCGTGGGGCCGGGGAAGCAGCGCAGCTGGAGCGGCAGCCGCGCGTCACGCGCTGCTGGCGGCGTGCCTGCTGTGCCTGCTGGCCAGCGCGGCGGCCAGCCCCGGCGACCGAGCGGTGGCCTTCCGTCGCTGCAAGGGCCTCTGCACGCGCACTGGCTGCGGCAGCGTGCTGGCTGCGGCCGCAGCCGCGCCAGCCGGGCCGCGGCGCGGGCGGCGCGGCCTGCGCGCGAACACCACCGCCGCCGACATCCGCACGCAGTGCAGCCCGCTGTGCCGCCGCCGCCGCACCTTCAACCTCACCGACCCGCCCAGCGGCTCGCGGCCGCTGGCGCTGGCGCTGTGGCGCTGGGACTGCCCCGCAGACTGCTCCTACGTCTGCATGTGGCTGATGGAGCGCAGCCGGCCCTCGGACGCAGGGCCAGTACAAAAATACTACGGCAAGTGGCCGTTCCGGCGCTGGATGGGCATGCAGGAGCCGGCCGCCGTGCTCTTCTCCCTCCTCAACCTGGCCGCCCACGCCCACTGCCTGGCGCGCTTTGTCCGGCTGTGCCGCGCCCTGGGCAAGGGCCGGCAGCGGCAGGCAAAGGGGCGGCGGCAGGAGCGCGGCGGCGGCGGCAGCGGCGGCGGCGAGGTGGCGGCCCGCGGCGGCGGCTACCCCTACCGCTGGCTGTGGGGCGGCTACATGGCGTTGTCCATCAACGCCTGGCTCTGGTCTGCGGTCTTTCACAGCCGAGACACCCGCCTGACGGAGCGCCTGGATTACTTCTCCGCCGCCCTGCTGATATTTTTCAACCTGTTCCTGTGCCTGGTGCGCACCGCGCGGCTGCGGTCGGCGGCCGCCATGCTGGCGGCGGCCGCCCCGCTGGCCGCCTTCCTGGCCTCCCACTTCCGCTTCATGCTGCTGGTGCTCTTCGACTACGCCTACCACGTCAAGGTGTGCATCGCCGCGGGCGCGGCGCAGTCGGCGCTGTGGCTGGGGTGGGCCGCCGCCACGGCGCCCGCGGGCCGCCGCCACCTGCTCGCCTTCATCTTGCTGGTGAACGCCTGCATGGCGCTGGAGGTACTGGACTTCCCACCCCTCTGGCACGCCCTGGACGCCCACTCACTCTGGCATGCTGCCACCGCCCCGCTCGTGTACCTCTTTTATCAGTTCATCGTCGCTGACGTGGCGCCCGCCACCGCCACCTCGCCCTCGCCCTCGCCTGCCGCCAAAGCCAAACACAACTTACAGCGAGCCGCTGCGTTTATCAATCATGGCAGGTAAACTTGTAAACCCCAACGGATACAGCCCCAGCAACTTAGGCACAGGCAGGGCGGGCGGTGTGTGGGGCGCTCATAGATCAAGCACGGAGGACACTATCAGAGCCTGGGTTTTCCCTCGGTTGGCTGGCCTAAGCTTAGGCTGGCAACGCCTTGCTCATTGCTCACTGCTTCAGCCTCTCCGCAGTCTCCTGGGCCTTGCCCTGGGCCTCATCCGCCACATCCTCTCCCTTGGCCTTGGCGCGCCCCAGACCCTCGCGCGCATCGCCCTGCAGCCGAGCAGCGCAAGAGCACGCACACGCGGCAGGCAGGCCGGAGGTTGGGCTGGGAGGTGCCACAGCCGGCGCAGTCGTGCTGCGGCAGGCATGTGGAGGGCACAGCTGCGCGCAGCGGGAACAAGCACGGCGGGGCTGCCACATTGCCTGGCCCTAGCCAGCCAGCCAGCTGGCGTCCCGGGAGCCAGCCGGCTCAGGAGGTGCGGTACCCGGGGTGAGGGTCCTGCACACGGCGGCGCGGCGTGGCGCGGAGCGCCCCTGCCCTTGCCCCTGGCACTTGCTGGGCTGGCTCCTCAAAGGGGGGCAGGGAGCAGGCATGCTACCCGCTGCTGCTGGCCCAGCAGCCACCCGGCTGCTGTCCGAGCAAGTGCCGACTGGCTGCAGGCCCACCTTGAGGTCAGAAAACTTCTCGCTGGCGGCGTCGGCCACCTCGCGGGCGTGGCGAGATGCGGCGTCCCCAGCACCCTGCAGCAGGCAGGCGTGCGGCAGGGAAGGCCTGTCGATGCGGCCCAGCCGGTGGCCTGGCGCAGCAGCGCCGCAGCGGCAGCAGCGGTGGCTGGCGACGGATGAAAGCTGCCCAGCGCAGCCCGGCCATGCCACAGGGCGAAGCCCAGCCGGGCCCCATTGCATGCCCAGCAGGCTTCCAGTCCCGAATCAGGCACCCCACCTCGACATTCTGTCCGGCTTCCTTGGCGGCGCCCTCGACATTGCGCCCGGCGTCCTTGGCTGCACCCTCGGCGCGGCCTCCCAGCTCGGAAGCCTTCTCCCTGGCCCCCTGCACAGCCTCCTCCACGCGCTCCTTGGCGCTGCCGTAGGTCTCCTGCGCGCGGCGGCAGGCCGGGGGAGCAGAGGCGGAAGCTGTGGGAGCAGCCTGGCTGAGGCAGGCCGGGCTTCGGCAAGGCAGGCACTAGCAGGCGGCAGTGCATGGCTGCGGCAGCCAGGGGCTGTGAAGCCTAGGAAAAAACAGTCCGGTGCCCTCCACAGCCACAGCCGCCTACCTTGGCAGACTCCTGGGCGCCGCCCAGCGCGCCGTCGGCCCTCTGCTTGGCGCGGCCCAGATTCTCGCGCCCCTCCTTGCCCACATCCTCCGCCGTCTCCTGCACCTCCTCCGCCGTCCCCACCACTGTCTCCTTCACCTTGCCGGCAGCATCGCTGCGGGGACGGGGGCGGAGCAGGGGGCGTCAATAAGGGCAGCAAGGTGGGAGGGGCGAGCGTGGCGGGAGGCGGCGGGCTGGTGAGAGGGAGGCGAGGAGGCACGCTCGCCGGCCGGTGCCAGCAAAAGCCGGTGGTGCCGCACACACACACCGTGGCGCCATGCCGCTGGCGTGAATGCTCTGGCAATGCGCCGGCTGTCATGGCTGCTGCTGTTCAGTGTCAGGAGCACCCCCACCTGACAGCCTGCTTGGCGGAGTCCAGAGCGCTCTTAGCCTTGTCACCCAGAGACTCGTCCTGCGGGCGGGGCGGGGGGGCAAAGGCGAGGGCGGGTCGGCAGGCAGCGCATGGGATCAGCAGGGCTGCTGCTTGCGAGCCAGGAGCTGGCACCACCCGGCCCGCAGCAATGCTGGGGGGCTGGCAGCAAGCGAGAGGCTGATGCGCGCAGGGGCGGGCGACAGTACTGCGTCACAGCCGCCGCCGCCGCCGCCGCCACCTGCGGCGCACTCACCCCAGGGGCAGCCTTGACCACCAGGGGGCGCGCCTGGTGCAGGCGGCGGGCGGTGAAGGCGCCTGGGCGGGCCGCGGCGGCGCGAAGGGCCGGCCGAGAGAGGGACAGGGTGGTCTGCATGGTGAGCGGTTGTCGGAGCTTCACGTGTGACTAGAGCCAGGAGCAGCAAGGGGGCACAAGGAGGAAACACGAGGAGAGAAACAGTTGGAGAAACAGGGTGTGGGAGCCTTTGAGCTGGCAGATAGGCCGGCCCAGATGGACATGAGAATGAGGCAGGTGCACAGAAGCTTCCCTTGGGGTGCTGGTGACTGGACGCTCCTCATGCAGGCTGTGCTGGCTCTGCCTCTCCCTTCTCCTTCACCTCTCCCTTCTCCTCCCAAAGCCACTCCAAGGTCGTCCTGAGCGAGCCAGGCACACCCGCAGCAGGCAGCAATATGAGACCAACGGCCACAGCCCTCGTGCTGCTCGGCCTGCTAGCCAGCACCGCCTGGGCAGCCCCCAAGGCAAGGCAGGCAGCGCTGCGCGGCCCTGCATGCCGTCCGACGTTGCCAGGGGGCAGCGAGCTGCGCGGCCGCCCCCGCCGCCGCACTGCTCCTGACGTCTGCGAGCCGTTGCCACGCTGCCGCGCGCAGGCTGATGGAGAGAAGGCGCGAGGCATGGCTGGGTGGGCCAAGGACAAGGTGGGAGACGTGGTGGAGAATGTGAGAGACAAGATCGGATCGGGTGAGCGGTGGGCGGGTCCGAGGGCCGGCAGGTGCCTGCCTGCCGCAAGCGCTCAGGCTGCACAGAGAGCGCTGACGCAGTGCTGGTTGGGGCTGCCATGCACCAGCCGTGCCGTGTCTGCAGGCTGGGCCCTGCGGTAGGGTGGGGCATCTGGGAGGGGTTCCTGCCTCTGGCGGGCACCCTGCCCTGCCCTGCCCTGCCCTGCCCTGCGCTGCGCTGCCTTTCGACTCTGTTTACCTTCTCAACCGCCCCACTCCTTCCTCACCTCCTGCTTGCCCGCCTGCCCGCCCACCTGTGTCCCTGGCCCTGCAGAGTGGGGCGGGCACAAGGTAGAGGAGGCGGAGGCGGCGATGCCCGGCGGCGCCGGGGAGATTGAATACGTGCGGGTGCGGGCTGCCCAGGGCAAGGAAGGCGGCTCGGGCTGGGAGGCGGCGCACCCCAAGTGAGCTGCTGCTGGGCCGGGCGTGTCAGTCTGGCAGAGGGAGAGGGAGGGGAGAGGTGAGGGGCCATTGTGTGGAGGGCACGTGAGGGGGGGGCTGCTGCCGGCGGGCGGGGGTGTCCAGGCGCCGAACTGCTGCAGTGAGCTGGGTGGGGGAGGTTTGATCACCTGAGGCAGCTGCGGACGGGATCACCCACGCCACGCCTGTGTTTGGAAGTGATCCCGTCCTGGCTGCCAGGCCCTCGTCCCTTCTCCACTCAGCACTGCACAGTGGGGTGCCTGTGGCGTTTGGCGAGAGCTGGGGCCAGGCGCCTGCCTCCCCAGCTGCACCAGAGGCGCCCGCATGCAGCGCGCTGTCAGCAAACGATAGCAGCCCTGCCCCTTGCCTGTGGATGTGTGAGCAGCAAGAGCTCGATTTCAGAAACTGGAGAACGTGTGAGCTACATCACCGTGGATCTAACAGCAGCTGCTCGGCATGGAAGCCCTCCGCTGCTCCATTCCAAGCTGCTGCTCGCCATCTCCAGCCAGGGGTGTAGCTTGCTTGCCGTCTCTAGTTTGTGAGTGTGAAGCTCAGCAGGAGCAGCATGGCGCCTGCGTATCTGCTGAAGTGGTGGGGCTGCCAGCCTGGCTTGGGCACATTCCCCCCTTGCTGTTCTCCATCCCGGCACATTTTTTACCGGCAAGCAGTGCCAGCCAGCTGTGGCAGCAGGCGTCCTCTTTGTGTGCTGCGTGGCACCACCGGGCAGCATGAGTCCCTAACGGCCACCTTTGAAAATTCATTTTGGGCTGTCCATGGCTTGATTGGTGTCCAGCCCGGGCTCACGAGCCACCTTGCCAGGGCAGGACGCCAGGACAGGCATCTGCCCGCCGCTTGCAAGCGGCCACCTCACATGTCTGCTGAGCAGCCAGGGCACCGCACCACACCTGCAGCCTGTTCATGTGCGTGTGCGGCGCCCTGCTGCACAGGCAGGGTGGTGGCGGCGAGGCTGCTGGCGGCAGCCAGGGGGAGCACCTGGAGGGCCCGCGGGAGGCCTGGAAGCACATGCAGCACGACCTGCAAGACCCTCACCAGTGGGACCGCCAGACTGAGGAGCGGTATGAGCGCTATGCCGACGGCTCGGAAGTGGGGCAGGCACCCAGGTGGGGCATTGCAGTCGCAGCAAGCGAGGGGTGAGAGAGCTGCTCGCCCTCCACCTCTCCACCTCCCTACTGCTCCCAAGTTTGCCTCTCATGCACCAGGGTGCGGCATCCATCCTGGAAGGGATACCGCCCACCCGCGTGGCGAGGCCTGGCTGGGGGGCAGAGCAGGAGGTGCAGGGTGTCGCTGCGAGCATGCTGTGGTCGTGCTGCGCTCGGCGGCGACGGCCAGCATAAGCCTCTGGGGTCCGCGGCCATCGCTGGGCTCCTTCTGGGCTGGTCCTCGCTGCGCTTGGCTCCGCCAGCACCTAGCCCCAGCCTTTGGGGACCCTGTCTGCTGGGTATGGTTTGGAGTCCATATACAGCATGTTGTTTAGTGAGTCTTTGAATGTCCTCAACTATATCGCCGCTTACGCTGGCGCTGTGGCAGAGATCTTCAGCGGCACACACAACCACATGCTGCACATGGGCTCCCAGCCGTACCCAGCGGAGGGGGGCTCCGGCGGCCCCAAGCTGCCAAAGGGCGTGGCGGCACAGGCGCTCACCAGGGTGCGTGCAGCGGGAGGCACGCTGGGCGTTCACACCTGGCGAGTCGACACGGGTGCGACCGGCGACTTGGTGCGGGGGGTCGTCGGGCTCACTGGCATGGAGGAGGGCACCAGGCCCAGCAGGCGTGCCCGCAAGTCTGCCCTCCACGTGCCCCGCCAACAGAGTGACCTCCCTGCCGAAGTAGGGCACCTGGCCTGGGGCACTCAGCCTCTGGCAGCCCGCCTCCTTGCCAGAGGCTGGGGACGGCCAGGTGCGCTGCTTCGGCAGGGAGGTGACTCTGGTGGCGGGGCGCGTGGAGGGCATGCCAGGTGCGGGGACCTCCCAGTGGCGCCAGGGCTAGGAGCTTCAGAGGGACTGCGAGGCCCTCCCAGTGGCCAGTCCGATCGCTCTTCTAGGGGTGCCGCGAGACCAGGCCACAAGGCCACGAGGCCTGCCCTGCCTGAGACCTGCTGGTGGCTCGCACGGCGCCACCACCCACCCTACCTGGCCCCACACCCTGCAGGAGCGGCAACGTGCTGTCGCGCACGTGGGACTCGATCAAGTCCAGCCTGGGACTGGTGCGGGGCTCCGCAGAGCAGGCCGGAGCGCAGGTGGGTGTGGGGCGCCGGCGCCAGCCGTGGGCAGGGGCGTGCTGGAGGGCCAGCACTGCCGCTGCTGCTGCTGCTGCTGGTGGTGGTGCTGCAAGTTGTCGTGTGGCACTGGCCTGCTGGCTTAGGGGACGTTCCCAGGATGGTGCGTGGGTTGCGTTTTGTGCCGCTGCCTGCACAGCACCCTCTCCCTTCAGCCCTGCTGGTGCGGCGACAAACTGGCTTGCTGCACCCGCATTTTGGTGGATTAATACCAGGCGTGCTGCCACCACGCTGCCGCTACGTGCAGGCCTCCGGCGCCGCGTCTGACGCCACCAGGCAAGCCGCCGCCCTTGTGGCCGTTCGGGGTTCTTCGTGCAGTGTGCCCGCCCGCCTCCCTTGCCCTGTGCACCTCATCACCCGACCCCCGCCCGCCCGCAAGCTCTCCCTCCCTCGTGCCATCTGCCCCTCCCTCCTTCCACCCGTGCTCCTTGACCATCTTCCCCTGCTCCTGACCCTCCCCCTGCCCTCCCCAACTACTCTCCCTGCAGGTATGCCTACGACCGGGCCGCCGGCATGAAGAACGCTGCGGGCGAGAGCTGGGACCAGGCCATGGATGCGGCCTACCGCTCCTGGGAGTCCACCAAGAAGGGCGGCCAGCAGACGTGGGACGAGGTGGGCTGGGGCGGGGCGGGGCGGGGCGTTGCGGGGCGGGGCGCCCTTGAATGGCATGCTGAGGTGTGGATGCTGCTATGTGGTGGGGTGTGGGCCCCAGCGCAGCAGTGGTCGGGCAGCAGGGGCTCAGTTGTGGCTGTGCCAGCGGTAGCTGCCCTGTGGTCGAGGATGCATGCGTTGCACCTCGCTGCCGCCGCTGCCACCGCTGCCGCCAGCGCCTGGCCAACAGAAGGCACACGGGCTGTGCACTGCCGCTCCAACTGCAGGCTAAGCGCGCCGCCTGGGACCAATGGTCTGCCACCGTCTCCTGGCCCGCCCGCACCATGCAGGCCACCAAGGTGGGCTGCTGCCACCTGCCTGCACACCTGCTGGGTGGCGTGGCAGAGAGCAGCATGGCGCATGGCGTGCACTGCACCCTGTGCCCGTTGGAAGAACAGTTTGTTGCCTTGCCCCGCTGTGCGTGCTGTGCCTCCTGGCCTCCCTGCCCACAGGATGCCGCAGGCGCAACCGCCGACGCCGTCGGGTCTGCCGCCAGCGCCGCCGCAGGCGCCGCCTCCGGCGCGGCGCAGTACGCTGCAGGCACCGCGGGGTGGGCTGCCGACAAGGCCCGCGACAGCTGGTATGCCACCCTGGCCAGTGCATATGCCAACTGGTATGCCACCAAGGACAAGAGCAAGCAGGTGAGGGGCTGCCGGCGGTACAGACGTGGCTGTACCGCCTGCGCTGCGTCCATGCACTGCTGCTTCCTGGACATGTGCTGGAGTGCTGCGCTCGCCCTGCTGGCGCGGGCAGCCCTCAGCCAGCCCCTTTTGGCGTGCTGCCAGACACAGTGTCTCAGCTGACCTGCTGCCGCTGCCGGCGCCTTGCTGCCGCTTCAGACCTGGGACGACGCCAAGCGTGCTGCATGGGACACCTGGAAGGTGGGCGGGCACCCCCCTATCTGTGTGGTGGGGTGCATTTGCTTGCGGTGGGCACAAGTGGCTGCCCCCGCTGCTGAGGTGTCCTGCCACCCAACCTCCAGACGCCCCCCTTGCGCCGCCCCTTTGGCCCCACCTGCCGGTGCCCGGCTCCCATTCACCACACCCTCGGCCAGCCGCTGACTCGCCTCTCCCCCGCCCGGACCCACCCTCCCTGCAGGCCGCTGAGGGCAAGGCCTACAGCGGGTACGACTATGCCAAGGACACCACCGCCTCGGGCTACGACTCGGCGCTCAGGAGCGCCTACGACAACTGGCAGGCAAGCCGCGCTCTGGGGGCCTGCGCTGCGCTGTGCTGTGCTGGGATGTGCTGTGCTGGGTTGTTTGGCGGTCTAACACTCTGGCTCTGATGGGCCCCTGCCCACAGCCAGCTGCCAGAGTGTACTCTTCCAAGAAGTTGTTGTGGAGGGTTTCTGCTGGCTCAGCCGCAAACAGCTGCTAGGGGCTCCTGCCTCCAGACCCAGCTGCTGGCGTGGCGTGGCAGGATTGCGCGCTCTACACCCCGCGCCCCACTCCCCGCAGCATCGCCACATGCTGTCGCCTCTTGCCCCTTGCTCGACACCTGCCCCACCAGGCAGCCACCCCACCCTGCCACCCCGCTGTCCCCCCACCCCCACGCCGGCCCGTGCAGGCCACCAAGGACAAGACGGGGCAGACCTGGGACGCCACCCGCGACACCTTCTACTCCTCCTGGCGCTCCGCCAACCGCGGCTGGGACGACGCCATGGCTTCAGCCTGGGACCAGTGGCAGGTGGGCTAAGCTTATATTTGCGGGCTTTTTTCATAGGTACTGCAAAGCATGGCCGGTGTCTGGGCCTGCGGGGGGTGGCTTGGGCACAAGGCAGGGGGGCGGGCAGCTGGCAGAGTGGGTGGCAGAGGGGCCAGCTGGCTGATGGGACATCGACTGAGATGCATGGCTTTCATCCAAGTTCGCCCTGCACGCGCTGCTGTCCGCCCTGTGCAGGCTACCAAGGACAAGAGTGGGGAGGTGGGTGGCTTGTGCATGGGTGCAGGGAGGGGAGGCGTTTGTGCAGGGCACTGCTCCTCTTCTTGGGTTGCATGCCTGTGGCCTTCCACTCTATCAACCCCTCGTGTTTGAACGTGTGTGCCAGTCTCCGCCACTGCCTGCCACTGCAGACCTGGGACGAGGCCAAGAAGAAAGCTCACGATCAGTGGAAGGCGGGCAGGGGCACCGCGGAGCAGGTGGGGTTCGTCACTGCCTGCTGCCACCCGTTCCTGCCTGCTGCGGAGCACATGTAGCTCCCAGCAAACCCCAGCAGCTCCCCCGTGCCTGGACCCCTGCCGATGCACCGGCACCCTCCCATGTGCCTGCCTGCCGCGGCGCTGCGCCCCGTGCAGGCCGGCGCCGCCGCCAGCGCCGGGTGGGAGAGCTGGATGCGCTCGGCCTGGGGCCGCTGGCACCGCACCAAGGACGCCACCAACGAGAGCTGGGAGGCCGCCAAGGATCAGGCCCGCAGGCAAGCGTCAGTTGCTGGGTGGGAGGGGAGGGGAGGGGTGGCGGCTGTCCCTCAAAACGGCTGTTCAGTGGCCCTTCCACGTTCGTGGTGGGCGAGAAGGCGAGGGGGACTGCGCTGTTTCATAAAGAGTACTGTTGTGTGCTGTGCAGTGCTGTGCCACACTGTGCGGTGCAGTGCAACAGCTGGGAATTGCACCACGCTGCTCAGTTCCCCTGCCTGCCGCCTTTCCCCCTGCCTGCCGCCTTTCCCTCTGGGTGCAGGGCCTACGACACTGTGTCCACCTCCTCCCAGCAGACCTGGGACCAGGCCAAGGCGGCGTCCAGGGAGCGCTGGGAGGCCGCCAAGGGCACCACTGGGGAGGTGTGTGTGTGTGCATACATAGCCTATTATAGCCTATTATAGCCTATTATAGCCAACAGTAGCCCACCCGTCCGCTCACAGAGAGCCATCGCGCCG